TAGTCCTAACGGACCTCCAAAACTCTATTTTCCTCACAATAGATAGCATATAGATATATCTCATGCAACTTCTTTCTCATGCAACAAACTCTAACTTATGCAAGCCTTGCTATGCACATAAATCTCAACAACTTCTCTTTCTCACATTTTGGAAATCAAAAATCATGCAATCTTCTCAATGCAAATAGTTAGTGATTTTCCAAAATAGATATTGGTTTTTGAAATAGAACTTAGGCTTTACTTAGAGCCATTATTGCACTTTGCTCAAAGAAATATGCTCAAAACTCATTCACCGTAAACAATGAAATAATGCACTGCTCATGCAAAACTCTCAACACTTAGCAAATCTTCTCAATAAATACTATCAAGTATTTAGACATGCTTCTCAATCAATTAACAATACTCAAAAGCCATAATTCTCCTTCATGAACTTAGTTCACAGACAACAAACAACAGAGCATTCATTCTTTCAAATTTTCTATCTGTTAACATGTTTTCAAACTCCAAATCAAACGAAACTAACTTCTACTAGTGCGTCGTAACGAGCCCGAGTGTCCGAGCCTCAAGGGCCCACGAATCCCGGTCCGAACGACACGTAGCTGAGCCACAGAGGGCCCGGCCAGAACCAACTTGCTCCGCCAAGCAACAGTCCTGGGCAACGGATCCAACTGGGATCCGTTGCCTTGGTCCGCTTCTCTACGAATCTAGCCAACGAACTACGCCTAGGTCCGTTGGTTAGGTCCATTGGGTTTACTGGTGCACCATCTGTGTGCACCAGGTCCCTTCTTCTTCACCTGTAGGCAACTCAGATCAAAATAACACTTTCAAACCTCAATAAATAAATCATAGATCATCAACAACACACAAATAGTTCATCAACAAATATTATCTAGCATTTCTAAACATCTATTTCACACTTCTAACATTTACCAGAGCCAAAAACTAGTTTGGGAGTCCATGGTTTATACCTTGAGCTTCTTCTTCTTGTGTGGATCCCCCATTCCTCTCTACTCAACTACTACCTCCTTCACCACCTATTTGCCTCAACAAACAACACAAAACAAAGCTTAAGGAGAGTATCTTAGAGTTTTGAAGGCAAAGGATGGAAGAACTAGAAGGGAAGATGAAATGAATGGATGAGAATGGTAGTTAGAATTCTTACTGTGATGTTCTTCTTCAATCTATAGAGCTCAAGGAGTGGAGAGGCCAAAAGAAAGGGATCAGATGAAGGCAATGGAATAGTGGAGATTTTATAGGGTCCAAAACCCTAGGTAGAACTCAAATGATTGGTTGAGGGCAAGGAAGTAATTTGGCTTGTTCTAAAACATCATACAAGGTTTTTTGCTTGTAGAAATATCAAGGTTCACCTTGTAACATGGACCAAGGTCTTAAAAATGATTTTAGACAACTTGGGTCAAAAATAGATTTTCTGAAAATAGTTTCTAGTTAAAACACTTGGTTCAGGTTTCTCAGGTTTCACTCAGATTAACTTTTTGTGTCAAAACTTGATACACAAATGTTCCCGAAACATAGGATTTTCAAAATAGGATAACTCTTGGTGTTGAATTTATTTAAAAACTCGATTAAAAATATTTAATTCGTACACCGTTTTTCAAAATAATTTTTTGGAAGAGTAAAAAGAAATATTTTGGAATTTTGTAAAATAGAATTTAGGAAAATTATTATTGGGTTGTCACACCTAGTCCCTCACAAAGCCAAGTGAGGAGTGGTCGAATGAAAATCGCGGGTGTGTTATCCTGGCTCTGAGTTAGGAGCCACTTCTCGCAGACTAGCCCCATATTCACCAGGTCATTGCGGTACACCTTGTGGAGGTTTGAGACTCTCCCACTAAATGTAGCCGCTAAGACATTCCTTATTGCCTTAATATCGTTCCTCACAATGAATCTTTCATGAGTCTTTGTTGCATCCCAAGCCATTGTGCCATTGCATAATCTCATCCAATAGTTGGTGACCTCTCTGTTTGTATAGAAATCTACCCTGGAGTTTAAGTAATCGTAGGTCCTTTGTTCTACGTCCGAGTGCAATCCCAAATATATTCCCAACTCGTTCACCGATAAATGGTACTCTTTATTGAAAATGGTGAACGAGACACAAGGCTGGTTAGACTCCTTTAATTTCACTCCAAACTCTTAATGTGGCAACAAACTCATAGACTACTGGGGCATATGTCATTCCCCTCCAAGCAAACACCTTGGACCACTGTGGATGAGAAATCAAGTGGGTAACCCCTTCACGGCACCCGTAAGAATCCAACAATGGCATGTCAAAGTAATAGCCTCCCGGCCAACACATTCTTGCCCCTTAGTTCGGACACTTTGGCCAACTCAATTGGTCCCAACTTCAACCTCCTATTTCCAGCAATTGGCACTTGAGGTTCCTCCTCCGAGGAATTTTCTTCTTCATCACTCATCCTTTGTTGTTCAACCAGCCTCATGCTAGAACTACCTTGGTCATGTTTTCTTTTCTTAGCAAGTTCCTTTCTCCTTGGCATTTTGATCCTGCAAGCTTATGAACAAGAAATTCCATTCTAGCATGGGCAAAGCAATATAAAGCATTATAGCACCATAAATCAACAATCTCACTCATTCATACCAACTCACAACACTCAGCAATGCATTTTTTTCTTCTTATTCTTTTCTCACCTCCGTTCGAATTTCCCTTCTTTTTTCTTGATTTTCTCTCTCTCTCTCTCTCTCTCTCTCTCTCTCTCTCTCTCTCTCTTTCAACCAAATCATGCTACAAGAGCTCAATCCCAACATTCAATATCACTCAACCAACATTCATACACTCAAAAGAATCAACAAAACTTTCTATTCACATTCAATGGTCAATTCTAGTCAACAATGTCAACAAAGTTCTTTAATAGTCAACACTTCTCCCTTTTAATTTCCCATTGAATTGCAATTCATATGTGGGAGGGTATGGATGACAACTCAACAAAATGAGGAATTGCAATTTAGTGGAATTGCAATTCACTCCAACCAAACACTGTAATTACTAAAGAATTAGGCTGTAATTAAATTACAACTACATCCAACCAAACAACCCATAAATGTCCAACATACTGGATAGAGTTAATTCCAGCAATGGTCCCCTGAGTATGGTAATTTTCCACAATTATTGGTCCTGGACTTTTAATTTGGATAATTTAACCACCCGACTATTAAAATCTTTCCAATTGTAGTCCTTCCGTTAAATTGGAGTTAAGTGAAAGTTAATTTAAGGGGTAAAAGAGTCATTTCCCCTGAATTCATCTTCATCACCGCACGATGTTCTGTCACTTCTGTCCAGCACGCAGCGAGGAGAGGGGAAGGCGGCGACGGCGAGGGAATCCGGCGGGTTCTCGACTTTCTTTCCTCTTTCCACTCTCCTGCTTGTCTTCGTTCATGCGTTCCTTCACAAGCGTAGAAACAATTTTCAGTGTTGTTCTCACATCTCTAGCCACCTAAGACCTGGGAATATGTCTGAAATGTTTGGAGTGCCAAACCACTGTGCGACGCCTGTTAAGGCATCGAAAAACTTTGAAGCTTTATCTGACATAAGATCTACCAAATCGTGAGAGAGAAATAGGTTTCCCAACAAGTTAAATGTTGCGAGGAAAGAAAAGTGTGATACATGAACCCCACTTCCTCCCTGCATGGAATTCGCTTGGAAGCAGCTGCTTGGCGTCTGACTGGATAGATTCCCCTGCGGAATCGCGTCGGAAGCTGCTTGCATGGGAGTTTGAGTGATTGGAGTAGCGGCTTGTGCTTCCTGATTAGTGTTGCCGACGCCGGAGAGTGCGGCGGCGTAGGTGCTGTGTCTGTGCTCTAATACCATGATGGATTGAGCTATGGAAGGTGTGAAAGGAAGCAATGATGTGTGGTGTTATTCATTGAAACAGAATGTCCAGAACCTTACTCATACAAAGAGAATACAGCCAATATATACAAGAAGGAATGAGGGAAAAAGGGCAGTTATAACAAATCAGATATGAACATTTACATTACTTCCCTCTACGTGTTTTGCCTTGGTGTTGCTTGGCTCTGTTATTTCTATCCATTGGAGCATGTCACCAATGCATTTTCTCCATACAGGCACTGTTTCATTAATCCTCTTATGCACGAACAATTCCACCGTGCATATCCTCCTTAATTCTGATGACTGAATTGGGAACTGAGGCAACTTGTCGGAGTAACTGACTCGGTAGAGTTTACGGCGTCGCGGTCCTTCCACGACTACTTTCTGGATCATCTCAATGACGGTGCAACTGTGCGACCAGACGTCGGATTCCGGTCCCTAATACTCCTCGCGGATGACCTCCGGTGCCATCCACAGTGAACTCCCATGTGGCGGCACAGCCTTATCCCGCCGTTGGAACCAAAATCCGTCAGCTTGGCAAGGTCGACCGGCAGCGAGCGCGCGGTGATGATGATTTTCACGTATACAGACACGTGAATGAAAGATGAAATATACCTGAGTAAGGGAAATGACACTTTTGCCCCTCAAATTAACATTCACTTAACTCCAATCTAACGGAAGGACCACAATTGGAAAGATTTTAATAGTCGGGTGGTTAAATTGTCCAAATTAAAAGTCGAGGACCAATTTTGGAAAATCACCATACTCAGGGGACCATTGCTGGAATGAACTCTACTGGATATAATAAAGTCCACATAATAGGTTTGAGGCATAAATAAATAAATAAATAAATAAATAAATAAATAAATAATAATAATAATAATAATAATAATAATAATAATAATAATAATAATAATAATAATAATAATAATAATAAATCACTGCTGAAAATTATGTAATTTCCGACCACCTGAAAGTGATCTTAAATCAAGTCGAAAGTAAAAAGTGGTCGGAAATAGCAACAAAGGTTTTTCCGGATACCAAAAGTGGTCGGAACAAGGCTTTCGACTTGATTTAAGATCACTTTCAGGTAATCGGAAATTTCAAAATTTCCATCCGTTAATACTAGTCTGCACATTGCACCGAGCTATATATGTGTAGGTTGATACATTAATATTCAAATATTACCTTAAAATAAACCACCTTAAAACCTTTGTATTCTCATCATAAAGCATCGATCTATCATTATTAGACATGGTACGGTGCAGGCACAAACATTATTGCACACAAATTGCACTTAATTGTGTCATCCCTAAGATATATTATATATAAGCAGATGGAGGAGTGCTGTTACTGAAACTTGATAAGAAGCTTGAGATAATCAGCTTGCTTTGTCAACTCAAACGCCTTGTTCATTTCACTCAATGAAATTGTATGAGTTATCAACTCATCCAGCTTTATTTTCTATACACATGGACCCCCAAAAAAAAAAAAAAAAAAAAAGATTAATTAAGAGCCATTTCAATTTTTCTCTTAATTAGGTGCTATTCAACTTGGTTGTTCCATAGCTCACTTTCAATAAATAATATGACATGTAAATACAATGTATAAAGTGTGCTCGAGTTTCAGATCTCAATTTATATAAAAGAAATTTCAAATGTCAACTTGGCTATGTAAACGTTAATAAAATTTATTCAGTATTAAAGTTATAATTAGATTAAATAAGAGTTTGGACATACCTTGTCTATGCATTTTTCAAAAATAGAAGAAAGATCTGACCGAATCCTTACTCCACCAAGTAAGCAACCTTTAACTATCGGACCGTAAAGAATAGCATCATAATTAATTTCTAGCTTGCTCCGAGACCCTGCCCCAAGAATCACCATCGTGCCAAGACCCTATTTATGCACCAACCTTCATATTACGAACTGTAATCTCCAAAACATAGTAAAAAATTTTACTTGCTTTACAACAGTATATATAAACCATAAAGACATTTTAAATGTTTTTTTTTTAATGTATTATGGTAGCTTTTTAGAAGCTTCATTTTTCTAGACATAGGCTAACTTTTCTCAAAAAAAAAAAAAAAAAAAAAAAAAAAAAAAAAAAAGACATAGGCTAACTCCATCCTGCTCTCAAAAAAAAAAAAAGGCTAACTCTATACCTGAAGTTTTAGAGCTTTCAAGGTGAAGTGACATGCTTTTGTGTAAAATATTTATTTATTTTATTTACATGTCTTGTGAAGGACATAAAAATCTGACAAATGTCAGCTTTTACTGCCATCTGCAGCTTTCCTGTACTACTTATTATTATTATTATTATTATTATTATTATTATTATTATATATTTACGTATTTATTTATTGAAAGTGAGGGCGCTTTTGAAATAGAGAGAATATTGTAGATATAAAGATAGCCTTACAACTTTAGTAGATTCAAGGGCTTCATTAATCAAATCACTAACTCCAGTGCACTCAAAAACATAGTCGGCTCCTAGTCCTCCTGTTGCATTTTTAACCAATTCACTAATGGGTATATCGGATGCTTTGATAGGATTTATGAAATCAGTCATTCCAAAGACTTCTCCTTTTTCACGTTTAAAATCGTTGATATCAATCCCTATTATTTTAGCTGCTCCTTGCTCTCGAGCTCCACTAATAGCCTGCAATTTTAAGATAAATTAGTAATTATAACTGATGGATGGTAGACCGCAAATTATGCTGTGGACTCGTGTCCACAATGCATTGTGGACACGAGTTTAAAACGACGTCGTTTTTAGGGAAAACGCGATTTTTCAGTTTAAAAAAAAAAATAATTTTGTCTCGGCGTTAACGGCGTTATTCGTTTGTGGCATTATAAATGTACAGTTATGGAATTATGAATGTAAGTTATGGAATTATGAACACAGAGCTCTGACATTATGAACTTACAATTATGAACATATAGTGATAAAATTATGAACATAGACCAATAAAATTGTGAACATAGAGCTTCGAAAATTATGAATTTTCAGTTATTGAATTATGAATGTGCAGTTATTGAATTATGAATGTACAGTTACGGAATTATGAATGTACAGTTATGCAATTATAAATGTACAGTTATGGAATTATGAACACAGAGCTTTGAAATTTGGAACTTACAATTATGAACATATAGTAATAAAATTATGAACATATGCTCCTATAACAAATTAAGTGGTCTGAAATTTTTTTTAAAAAAAATGGTGGAAGATAACGGTGTTATTAACGGCACCGTTACCGTGTCTACAATGCATGCTGAACACAGGTCCATATAGCATAACGATTGATGGTAGACTAACTGGATCGGTCGGACCACTCTCAAGGGTACCGCAATGGTTATGCTGTGGAATCGTGCCCAGCGTGCATCATGGGCACGGTAACGGTGCCGTCAGGCACCGTTATCTTCCTCTTTTTTTTTTTTTTAATTTAATTTCAGACCGCTTCGTTATAGGAGCATATATTCACAGCTTTGTGTTCATAATTTCATAACTGTACATTCATAATTTCATAACTGTACATTCATAATTCCATAACTGTACATTCATAATTCCGTAACTGTACATTCATAATTCAATAACTGTAAATTCATAATTTTCGAAGCTCTATGTTCATAATTGTAAGTTCATAATGTCAGAGTTCTATGTTCATAATTTCATAACTGTACATTCATAATTCCATAACTGTATATTCATAATTCCATAACTGTACATTCATAATTCCATACTGTATATTCATAATTCCATACCAAACATTCATAATTTTCGAAGCTCTATGTTCATAATTGTAAGTTCATAATTCCATAACTGTACATTCATAATTCTATAACTGTACATTCATAATGTCATAACTGTATATTCATAATTTCATAACGAATATGCCGTTAACGCCATTAACGGCGTTTCGAACAATTTTTTTTTTTTTTTTAGTTAAAACAGCGTCGTTTTCACTGAAAACGACGCCGTTTTAGCTGCGCATAGCATAATTTGCCAGGGTACCGGTTGGACTAATTGAATAAAGGGCCTAGATCGCATGATCTAACCCAAAGAAATATATGGTTGGACCAAGAAAGCTCAAGAAGAATATTCAGTACGAAGTCAATTAGGGGATTGTTCACAGTGCACTATGGACACTGGACGTATATAACGTTGTTTTTTAACTTTAATTTTGACGTCAATCATTTGGTGTTCAATTTACGTTATATTTTGTTAACTATAAACTATGTGGGTGTGTCTTGTGTTGTGAATTTTTGTGTCTTGTGTTGTGAATTTTTGTGTTTTAAAAGTATGAATTCTATGCCTAGAACAAATTTATAATTGTGTAACACACAACATATTGTGTATCAGATGTTATAAATTTATGGCTTGTGTTGTGAAATTCTATACCTATAGAACAAATATTTTCTACCTAAATCGGATTAGAAAATAAGTAAATATATAACATGTGTATGTGTTTTGTGTTGTGAGTTTTTGTGTCTTGTGTTATGGAATTTCATACTTTAAGAGTATAGTCAGTATCATTCAAAAAATATAACATGTGTCTTGTGTTATGAAATTTTGTACCTTAAGAGTACGAATTTTGTACCTGAAATAAATTAGTAGCTGTGTAGAGACATGAATAATGCGAAAATTGTAAAATCCGTTAAAATCTAAATATCAAAATGACGTTGTTTCGATCCAGGGTCCACAACATTGTGTGGATCATAGTCCACGATATAAATTTTCGAGATTAGGGGGTTAGTGTTATTTGTAGTTTAGTAGGATCGAGCTAGTTATCCCCAATGTAATAGGACTCTAAATATGAGGCAATCTAAAATTTTTATTCCTTATAGAGCTCCTTTCAAAATATGTATAAATAGCCCTCTCCCATATATGACCAAGGACAAGCAACTATCATTAATACAAAATATTGATTCTCTATATATTTATCACATACTCGTTATTTTAACGGTAGTGTTGGCCCGTCGTTGTTTGCCAAAAGCCATATATAAAACCAACAATAGCTTTGTCAAATGTTATGTCGTGGAACCGTGTCTACCTTGCAAGATAGACACGATTTTATGTTCATAATTACTGAACTCTATGTTCATAATTATAAACTTCTATGTTTATATTTTTTAACTTCATATTCACAATTATTGAACTCTATATTCACAATTACAGAATTCTATGTTCATAATTATAAAACTCTATGTTCATAACTCTATGTTCATAATTATAAAACTTTATATTCATAAGTTTTGAACTTTATATTCATAAGAGTAAATACCACCTATGGTCCCTCGAGTTTGGTGGCATCGCCATCAACGGTCCCTAACTTCCGTAATTACCATCCGTCATCCTCCGAGTTGTCAAAAGTTACCTTCTAGCGTCCTTCCATTACTTCCTCCCGTCTCAGCCGTCAAAATGGAGGGTAATATTGTCATTTGACTTATACGAAAAGAGTTAATACCAGCCAAGGTCCCTCGAGTTTGGTGATTTGGCCATCTTTAGTCTCAAGTTTCCATATTCCATTATTTTCATTCTTTCATATTCTCTTCTTCAAATGTATTATTATTACTATTATTTATAGTTATTATTAAATTCTTATTATTATTACTATTATTTAAAGTTATTATTGTTATTATTAAATTATTATTATTATTATTGTTATTGTTATTATTATATTATTAGCATTAAATTATTATTATTATTATTATTATTATTATTATTATTATTATAATATTCATATTCATATTATTATTATTATTATTATTATTATTATTATTATTGTTATTGTTATTATTAAATTATTATTATTATTATTATTATTATTTATTGTTATTATTATTTTTTTAAATTATTATTACTATTATTATTATTATTATTATTATTGTTATTGTTGTTATTATTGTTATTGTTGTTGTTGTTTTTGTTGTTGTAGAAATGTACAAATGCTATTATTATTATTATTATTATTATTATTATTATTATTATATTATTATTATTGTTATTGTTATTTTTATTGTTATTATTATTATTATTAAATTCTTATTATTATTACTATTATTTATTGTTATTATTATTATTATTAAATTATTAAATTATTATTATTATTGTTTTTGTTGTTGTAGAAATGTGCAAATGCTATATAGGATGAGTGTATTTAATAAAATCAGAAAATTAGAGAAATAAAAATCTGGAGGAATGGAAAAATGGAAAACTGAAAAAATGGAGAAGGAAAACTGGAAAAATAGAGAAAGAAAACTGGAGAAATGGAGAAATGAAAAACTGGAAATGGAAAAACAGATAAATGAAGTAAACGACCCCTATACATTTGTAAATTTTCTTTAATATTGTATAGGAGAAGAGGGGGTTCGAGTTGAAAGTTGAGAAACCACCAACTTTCTTTAATAATGTTTGGCCAAGTTTGGGACTAAAGATGGCCAATAATAATAATAATAATAATAATAATAATAATAATTTAATAATAACAATAACAATAATAATCATAATAATAATAATAATAATAATAATAATAATAATAATATGAATATGAATATTATAATAATAATAATAATAATAATAATAATAACAACAATAATAATAATAATAATTTAATGCTAATAATATAATAATAACAATAACAATAACAATAACAATAATAATAATAATTTAATAATAACAATAATAACTTAATAACTTTAAATAATAGTAATAACAATAAGAATTTAATAATAACTATAAATAATAGTAATAATAATACATTTGAAGAAGAGAATATGAAAGAAGGAAAATAATGAAATATGGAATCTTGGGACTAAAGATGGCCAAACCACCAAACTCGAGGGACCTTGGCTGGTATTAACTCTTTTTGTATAAGTCAAATGACAATATTACCCTTCATTTTGACGGCTGAGACGGGAGGAAGTAACGGAAGGACGCTAGAAGGTAACTTTTGACAACTCGGAGGATGACGGATGGTAATTACGGAAGTTAGGGACCATTGATGGCGATGCCACCAAACTCGAGGGACCATAGGTGGTATTTACTCTATTCATAATTATGACAGTTTTAAAACCGTGTCCACATTGCAAGGTGTTTCACAGCATAATTTGTTTGCCTAGCTTTGTTATAAGTGATGCAATAACCGAAAAAAATTCCAAAAAAAAATAATAATAATACAAAAAAAAAAAGATAAAACATTGTAGAAAGTGATTTAAATAAGATTTGTAATAATAAAAAGACTTACCCCCAATCCAACAGCACCAAGACCAATGACCACAACAACCGAGTCCTTCTCCACCTCAGTTGCTTTGAAGGTTGCTCCAAACCCAGTAGTAAACCCACAACAAAGCAAGCTAGCATGTGGAAGAGGTAGTCGACGGTCAACTTTAACAACGTAGTTAGCATCGACAACGGTATACTCTGACCACGTGGAGTTGCTGAAGAAGTGGTATAGTGGTTTTCCTCTAGCGGACATTCTTGATGTGCCATCACGCATTAGACCAGTTATGGGCAGAGGGTAGTTATGGCATATGTTGGACTTTCCTGATTTACAATTCAAGCATTCTCCACATTCACCTAAGTATAGTGGCATCACTGTGTCTCCTATTGTAAGGTTTGTCACATTGTCACCTATACTCTCTATCACACTGCAGTAACATAAGGAAATATAGTAAATATATCAGCCCGGTTTGATAAAATAGTTAGTTTATAAGTCAATTTTGGCTTATTTGACCACTGTTAGCGGTTTGATTTGGTTAAAAAATTAATATAAGTGTTTGGTTAATTAGTTTTTTGTAACTCCAAAATGCTAAAATTCAAAAGGCTACTCAAAAGCAACTTTTTCATCAATTAGCTTTTTGAGAAAAGAAATTATATCAAACAGCTATCAGCTAACAACTAATTTACCAAACACCTTTCTGCAATCAGCTAATGTTATCAACTAGTTATACCCTCAAATTAACCCAACTGGCTAACAGCTAAGAGCCATTTACCAAACAAGGCCATCATCTTTTCTTAAATTTACACTTCCTAATATTCTTCCCAAACTTCACCCCTATTTATTCATATTATGACATGATGACACTATGTAATTGGATCTTTTATAGATTTAATTACTAAGTAGATTATATTTATTTTTTAACTAGTTATGTGACCAATTTATTAATAGTTAATGAATATAAAATTTTTTAGAGGCATCTAAACACTTGAAGTAAATTCAGAATGAAACTACAAAATAACATCTCTCAAAAAGAATAAGGTTCAAATTGACCACTGAACGTAACCTGAAAATGCAATTAAGTCACTGAACGAAAAAAAAAAAAGTGCAATTACGCCACTAAACACTCCAAAAATGTGCAATTAAGCCACTGAACACTCCAAATGTATGCAACTTCACCGGATAACAGGTTACCATCAATTTTAGCAGGTTACCTGCTTACGTGGCAGCTGAATTGGCATTTTAAATAATTATTAAATAATGTTTAATAAATTTTAATAATAAAATTTTCAAAAATTAAATATAAAAAAAAAAAAAACTGGAGATGAAGAAGGGGGGAAAGGGGTGGCCGGCGGCCGCCTCGTCGTTTTTTTTTTCAATTTTTTAAAAATTTATTATTAAGATTTATTAAAATTTATTTAAAAATTATTAAAAATGCCAACTCAGCTGCCATGTAAACATGTAACCTGCTAAAATTGATGATAACCTGTTATCAGGTGAAATTGCATATATTTGGAGTGTTCAGTGACCTAAGTGCACTTTTTTTTCTTAAAAGTTACATATATATATATATATATATATATATATATATATATATATATATATATATATATATATATATATAAACTGGATCTAGCTTAGTGGCATTCAAGTCCATGCCTAGATAACATAAAAATATTTAAATAATGACAAAAAATTGTGTGAGACTGTCTCACCGTGAGACAGGTCGGATCAAGATAAAAATGTAATACTTATACCCACAAATGTCATATTTATATGCTCAAATGTAATACTAATCATGGATAAATTTTTTGTTACTTATAAGGGTAAATGTAATACTTTTAAGGGAAAATGTAATACTTTTACATTTCGATTTAAAAGTATTACATTTTTTCTCAAAAGTATTATATTTTTCCTTATAAGAGACACTTGCCAACATTACTTATTATGGAAAATGTAATACTTTTACATCAAATGCAAAAGTATTACATTTTTCCTTATAAATAACAAAATTTTTATTCTTGATTAGTATTACATTTGAACGTATAAGTATGATATATATTTGTATGTTGATTTGACCCGACTCGATTCGTCTCACACAAGTGTGACCCTTAAATAATCGCAAATTATGCTGTGCAACCGAATGCACCATGCGCATGGTGCATTCGATGCAAAACGACGTCATTTTGGTTATAAAAAAAAAACGTGCGTCCCACTTAAAGAAAAAATCAGGTTCGATTCCCGACAATAGCATTTTTATATATCCATAAATTCATAACTATATATCCACAGTGAATGAATGAAGTAAATATCTACAATGAATGAACTAAATATCCACAATGAATGAACTAAATATCCATAAATTCATAACTATATATCCACAAATTCATAACTATATATCCACAATAATGCTATTGCCGAGAATCGAACCTGAATTTATTTTTTTTTAAGTGGGACGCGCGTTTTTAGTCAAAACGACATCGTTTTGCATGGTATGCACCATGTAAACGATAAGCAATTGGGGCCCAAAAAAGGAGAAAACCTTTGTACTAATTTCTTCAACACGTTTTTATGTACGGAGTAACTATTAAGGGTGAGAGAGAGAGAGAGTTAGGGATTGACTTACCCAACTCCTTCATGTCCAAGAACTCGTGGAAATAGAGGCTGAAAATTATATATTATATTAATAAACACAATAATTAAGTGGATTGATGATGGGTCATCAACAGAACAAACACTACTGGAAATTATGAAATTTCAGACCACCTGAAAGTGATCTTAAATCAAGTCAAAAGCCTTATTCCGACCACTTTTAGTATCCGGAGTTGTTATTTCCGACTACTTTTTGGTATCAACTTAATATAAGATCACTTTCAGGTGGTCGGAAATTCCATAATTTCCACTAATGAAAATACCCACAATTAATATAATAATAAAGAAAAAAAAAGTGTACGTAATTAAAGAAGAGAGAAAATGGAAACTAACTACTGGAAAGCCAGAATGGTATAGGGTATCAGTGTGGCATAAACTGGCGTACAACATCTTTATACGAACTTCACAACCCTTTGGTGGATCCACTTCTATCTCTTCCACCTTCAACTCCTCTCCCTTTCCCCATGCCACAGCAGCTACAACCATACATACAACACCACAACTCTATCAATGTTTGCGCGTGTAACCATAAATGATAACAGATCTGTCATCACACTATATAGTAGTTGACTAAATATTTTTGTTTTTTCTTTTTCTTTTTTTTTCTTTTCGGATACAAGGGAAACCCTATAACCCTTTCGGGTGGAGGTAAACCCCGTCTTGTGATCTTAGCCGTTAATGACTAAAGGATATAAACTAGCCTAGGTTACGCACAGCTGACTAGCTCAAATCTAACGGGGCAGGGTAAGGATTCAAACTTGTAAACTTGTGGTTACAAGTGTAGATCTCTCGTCATCAAGGATATGATCGATGGGAGTTGGGAAGGGAAGCATGAAAGAAAACATTATCAATTCAAGCTAGATTGTATATATATATATATATATATATATATATATATATATATGCACATTACCTTTGCATGTGATGACCTTCGGATCCATTTGTATTCTCAGTTCCTTTCTCTCAGCTGGGAATAGTCAGCGAGCTAAGGGCGGCTGCGGGAAGGAAGGAGGAGGTTTTTGGGTGGAATAATTTGATTATATGTGTTAAGACTGTTTGGCAGAACTACTACGTGTAGTATAGAGCTAATTTTAGTGTTGATCCCTTGATATTATTATATTTTCACTTTGGTCCTTTAAGTCTAAAATTAATCATACTAGTGTAGTATACCTGAAGGATACTCAAATATATTTTTAATTAACCTTGTTCTCTAGTGGCACCAAGTTACTCTCTTATATATAAAAGGGTGTGGGTTCGGGCCTCTATAATTAAATAAATAATAGATAAAAGTGTCAAATAGGTCCATTTACTACGGCGAAGTGCACAATTCCTACCATGAACTAAATTTTACTAACAGGTTGCCTATTCAATTATTAAAAAAAAAAAATGAAGGGTGTGGGTTCGAGCCTCTATAATTAAATAAATAATAGATAAAAGTGTCAAATAGGCCCATTTACTACGACGAAGTGCTCAATTCCTACCATGAACTAAATTTTACTAACAGGTTGCCTATTCAATTATTAAAAAAAAAAAAATAGTTGCGTATTTCACAGACAGCCAGACAGTCCTAGCAGCCACGGCTGTCAAACATGAGATCCAGATCTGGCCTGATAGCCACAGCTGTCAAACATGAGGTCCAGATCTGGCCGAATAGCCACGGCTGTCAGACATGAGGTCCAGATCTGGCCGGATAGCCACGGCTGTCAAACATGAGGTCCAGATCTGGACCTCACCCCCGGCCTGGAACGAGGGCTATCCGGTAGCCACGGCTGTCAGACATGAGGTCCAGATCTGGCCGGATAGCCACGACTGTCAAACATGAGGTCCAAATCTGGACCTCACCCCCGGCCTGGAACGAGGGCTGTCCAGCGAGGACAACCGGACAGCCACGGCTGTCAAACATGAGGTCCAAATCTGGACCTCACCTCAAACGGCCTTGGAACGAGGGCTGTCCGGCGCAGACAACGATGGCTGAAATTCCTTTTATTTATTTATTTATTTTATATTTTTTAATAATTGAATAGGCAACTTGTAAAAAAGTCAATCGAACAAATTTTGCTGGTAGATGGGCCTATTTGACACTTAATTTAGTTCGTGGTGAGAATTGAGCACTTCGCAGTAGTAGATGTGCTTATTTGACATTTCTGCCTAAATAATATTATATGAGAATTGACATGTATATATTTTTCTTTTTGATCATACATGTAGGAATTTTTAGTAAAAAGATAGTGTTACCTATAATATTTTTATAGCGCATTGTAACAGAGTCAGTAATACTAAAAAACTCAGTTATAAACTCTAAAATCCAAACCAACGAAAGATTTAGCGACGCTATAAAAAACGTTGTGACAGTACCTAGAATTCAACCTTAATACCTTAAAGTCTTACTCTTAAAGGCACTAACCTAGGTTCAAACCTATACTCTGATACCAACTGTAACACCCCCGATTTTTACACAACAACTAAGCAATTAAAGGCTTAAAGATGAAGATAAAACTAACATTAAGATATAAAGAGTGCGGAAGCTAAACTTGTCAATCAGAAGATGTCACGTCACATCTAACTACAAGGCTAGATGCACAGGCTAAAAGTCAAAACTTAGACATCCAAAACCATAACATCGAATTCACAAGTTCAATTCTACAGGCACACATGCCTCAACAATTAGCTAAGGAACCAAAAGGGAGATACGTTAAACTAATCCGTCTTCTATCACGCTCGAAGAAACTACTCAGCACCTGTAAAACATAAGGGTAGCACCCGTTAGCGAATAATGCTAAGTAACCAACCACTACGCGTAGAGTACTTATAATATACATATAGGAAAATCACTTTTGAGACTTGGAATACATAGTATATAATCTTTTAAAACGAGGAGTAGGAACAACATAAGACTCATCAGAATCACTCTTAATCAAATGACCAACATCATACGGTTACTCAAGGTATCAACAAGAACGACAAGAACAAACGAGTAATCCACATGATATGATAAGCAATATCAATTAAGAGATAACATCAAACATACTCATAAGCAATAGAAAGTCAAAGATCGCAACCAATGACTAGTTCTAACCTTATGCCTGGTTCCAACCTTATGTCACCATGCCGACCTTATTTCAGTTCCAACCTGTACCTCCGAGTGCCACCCTGTACACCAAGTCCAACCTTTTCCCTCCTGGAGCCATTGCTCCCCGCCAATCAATTATCACCGATCTCATAGACATACACAATGTCATTAATAATATAATAATACTTATCACGTGATAGTATCCCGCCAATCAAGTGAGCAAAGCTCATTACCACCAATCTCATAACAATCACATAGTCATTGACATAGAAGATTGAGGCTCATCAATAGCCCAATCAAGGATCAACAATAGAGTACAACATATGTACAAGGTTACAACAAGAGATTCAGTAGAAAGACTTCAAGGAGAGACATGAAAGGAACATTCAAAACAATAGCACAATAGTAATAGGCTTCAATCCAAAGATTACCTTGATTGGTGAACACAAGTTACCAATCTTCATAGAGAACGAATGAACAAGCACATACTAGTACCAACAACATCGTAACTAGCATGCAAATCAATAGAATAATCATAACGGTTCAAACGAACATCAATAACTTCACATTAATCCAACAAATCACAAAGTTAGACCTTAAGCATGATTCAAGACTCATAAACCGATCAAGGTTACTTAGGACACCATTCTAGACGTACGAAACATCAAAGGAGACACACAGTTGCACAAGAATTCAACAAAGCGGAGGCCAAAACACAACGTACCAGTGGGCGAAACGGTCGGTGGACAACCCCCGCCACTCCCCTACACATGTACCAGCGAGTGGAACCATGGGTGGGCAACCACCCGCGGCTCCTCCCGCCACCATCCGCCTACGTTTCCCACGAGTGGAACGGCGGTAGGCTGCCTGCTCGCCATTCTGCCCGCGGGTACCCCTGAACCAAAAATAATTCCCTTTCGGGGGAAAACACCAACAACGCCAAGTTCAAGTCCAAAACACCCAAAACCTCACATTCAACAATAAAGGAACTTGAACAAATGAAAAGCTCAAAGAATAGCATTTATGAACCCTAGATACAAGCTCTAAACATGCATAAACACAAGGTTATGCATCATTTCACTCATGAACATCAAGAATAGCAAGAAATTCATATTATCAAGCATAAAATAGATTTTGTAGCACATGGTTACCTCTTGTAGCCTAAGAACACCTTTTTCAACCTCTACTCATCCTCTTGGAACTCTTCTTCCACAAGGTCTTCCCAACACAAACCAAAAACCACACAACTATCCAAAACTTAGATAAAGTCAAGGAGAAACTAGATAAAAACACTACCCAAGACTAGGCATTACATTTCCTAAGGTCTTGGTGGAAGAAAGTTGGAATCTTGGGGAGTTCTTGGCAAGATTGAGAAAGGGTTTTGGTTGGCTTGGGGAAGAAGCTAGGATTTTAGAGAGAAGGTGGTGAGAAAGGTAGATAGAGATGGAAAAGTTGGAATGATTGGAGATTCTCTTGGTTGGGGTAGGATCTTTAGGCTAAAATCTGAAAAGTTGCAAGGTCCCCTTTGAATCAATTTAAGGCTAGGAAGGAATTAAAAACTAGGTACAAGGCATAAGGCACCGTGTACAACTTATTGGCTAATGATTTAAGTCAATTTTAGGTCCTCCGACTATTTTAATAAGGAATTAAGGAGAGTTTTACAAGGAAAGCTTAGAATTAATTAAATAATTAATTCCGTTTAAGGGATAGATTTTCGGGGTGTCACAATAAACACATCAATAAGCTTTGAGAAGGCACACACCAAAACCACTCGATTACATCTTCATCATCTCGTGGTCCTTCTATGTCCTTTTTATCATAAGCTCCGTCTAAGCACTGAGTCAGGTTCACCTACGCTATAGCTGGTGCGAACTTAGTGTAGTTAGTCTGTGTAGCCTGTCGAAAGCGTGTCAGGGTTCTGACTGCACCGTTATCGGGCAAATAACGCTTTTAAGGTAATGTTATTATAACACGGCACACACTTCCTTTCAGTCATACACTCGTAGTGTCCGTGTTTCTTAAAAGGTTTCCAGCCCGTGCGTTGACGTTGCGAATATTTTTCAACAATTAAAAGCGTTATTTTAGCAACAGTCAACTACTCAAATCGTGGAGCAAATTATATAAATTTTTTGGTGACATGATGGTGTAGCAACAACAGAGATTAACAGTGGAAGGCAGGAGTTTGATACAGAATAGTACTGGTGAAGCACACTGCTTCGACTTATGTGTAACCTTTAAGCAAGGGAGTACAACATAAATAATTATTGGGTTCATATCGGAGCTTTAACCATACTCTGATGAGGTTTGTCTCCTCATATTTTAATATGACACATGCATATTTATATGATAATAGACTATCATATGCAAATGATTATTTTGAGCACAAGTAGTCATATATTATTGTGCATTGACCATATTCCCTTAAAACTATCATAATGGCATAATTTAGAAGATGGTTTGCCTATACCTTTGCATCCATTTGATTATTATGTTTTGAGAGCATTTGAAACGTGAAATATATACTGTGACAAGTATTTTAGAAATCACCATTTCATATTTTATATGGTGAGTGCTTTGAATATTATAGAGAATATTAACAGTGGTGCACACAAGGATAGGTGAATTGTTATTATTCAATTCACATGGATGACCTTTATGATTTTGTTGTGTTAGAAGCAAGGTTGCAAAAACGTTAGGCGCCGTTTTATTATTATTATTTTTATTTTTAAAAAAAAATTAAAAATTAAAAATTATAAAATTCACTCATAAAACATAAGGTTCCTCTAGATTTTTCTTACAAATTATTTACGTAAGTGGTTGTAAAATCGTTTTGAATATTATTGAGACCATCTAAATACATAAAAATTTAAAATTAAGAGCAAAAGAAGCATTTTTGAAGAAATTAGAGGGCCAAACTGCCTTTGGTTATTTGTGGTGTACAGATCTCAAAAAAATACGCGATTTGAAAAAAAAAATTGTTCAAAACGGACAACCGAGTCAAAAGTTATGTCTTCCCGAACTTTTAACACTTTACAACGCAAAAAAAAAAAAAAAAGTTATGCCTTCCCGAACCGGCCGACCATGGAGGAGGCCGGAATCGCGGCAGCAGGCGGCCGCCTAGTGCCTAGCGCCTAGGCGCCTATTAAATCATCAATATGATATAAAGCTTATAAATTGTGTACTTATGCACATATCGAATTTATAACATTATGTGTTATATTGTGGATATGTTACAAATATTGCACTATTTGATGAGATACATATATGCTTTACAATCACTTAATCTTAAATGTCTGAATTGTGTACCGAGACTAAATTCCAAGGCTTTACTTACATTGTGGTGGTAGCATGAAAAAGTCATCATTCTTGAATACTCTGTCTAGGAAGATGGTTTTTAAGTAAACTTCGGTTTCACCACTCGACCTGGGAGTTTTTAAGAAGTAGGGTGTTGATCATGCAGGTTAGTTAGAGCGCTACTTCATCTACCATATCAGAAACTGCAGTTGAATCAAAATGATATTTTAGTTGTGCTATAATGAAACTAACAATGCATATAAAATGAAACTGAATAACAGGTTTCACATATTCAAGTGTATATTGTCCTATGAAATCGTAGTTGAATCAAAATTATACTTTAGTGGTGTTGTAATAAAACTACAGTGTGTATAAAATGAAATTTAATAACAGGTCTCACATATTGAGTGTATATTGTCAAATGAAACTGTAGTTGAATCAAAATGATACTTTAGTTGTGCTATAATAAAATTACAGTGTATATAAAATGAACCGAATACTTCATAAAAACAAAATTAGTTTGACGAAACGGGTGCCGTTTTGTGTGGACCATGGTCCACAGTAAAATTTGCCACAAGGTGAACCATGGTTCATGGTATCATGATTGCTTTGAACCAATCATTATACCATGGACCATGATCCACCTTGTAAGGTAGAACAGTGACATAAGGCTCAATTTTACTAGGAAAAATTATAATTTATGTCTCTCCATAATATGCCAATTATTAATGTCACCCCTGAATTATTAGTGGTGTAAATGTTGCCCTTCATTTTTTAAAACGGTACATATATTGCCCCTCCCGTACCGTACGGGAGGGGCAATATATGTACTGTTTTGAAAAATGAGGGGGAACATTTACACTATGGGAGGGCACTATATGTACCGTTTTGAAAATTGAGGGGCAACTTTTACACCACTAATAATTCAGTGGGGACATTGACAATTGGCATATTATAGAGGAGCATAAATTACAATTTTCACTTTGTACTATACTGAAGGTTTATTATTTAGTATATTATCTAAAAATAAACCTTTAGTACATTAATAATGAGCTTTTAGTATATTAAAAATGAACATTTGTCAGTATTTTCAATTGCACGGTGGATGATCAATTATTATTGCGTGGACCATGGTTTACATAGCTGTGTGGACCATAGTTCAATAACACATAAAATACATTATTCTTTTCCAAAAAAAAAATACATTATTCTAACTCACAAAATACATTATTCTAACACATAAAGTACATTATTCTAATTCATAAAATACATTATCTTACCCTTAAAAATTTATTATTCTAACATATAAAGTACATTATATATTATTCTAACTCTTAAAATACATTTTTTTTTTGGATATACCCACGATTTTCACCGTCGGACACAATGACTAATCCACTCGCTGAATTGTAGGCACCTCTTTTGGGTGGGACAGCTGGCCTGGAGATTTAACTCTTAAAATACATTATTTTAACATATAAAATGCATTATTCTAACTCATAAAATACATTATCTTATCTAAATTTTTTTATTATTTTAACACATATAATATACATTATTCTACCACATAAAGTACATACAGTACATTATTTAACTTATAAAATACATTATCTTACCCTAAAATGCTCATTATTCTAATACGTGCGCGGAGCAAGGAGTTTTTGACATAAAAATAACATCGTTTTAGACCGTGGTCCCCACAATAATTTGCCGTGGATGATGATCCATTATATTTTCAATCATTATTGTATGGACCACCATATTTTCTATACTATAAAATATGTTCATTTAATACACAAATAATGTATTTTTATTATATTAAAAATGTATTTTGTATTCACGAAAATTACATTATTTAAATATTAAAAGTACATTATTTTATATAATATATATTCAATACACTAATACTATATTTTTAGTACATTAAAAATGTACTTTCTTTTATGGTCCATACAATACTACGTGGCAATAAATTGTCATATATAATTTCTAGTGAGCTAAAAATCTTCTGTTTTCAAAAAGAAAAAAGAAAAAAAAAAACTTCTAAAAACTTATTGGCCCAATTGTGTGGGCTTAGTGCTCTCAAATTCGGTCCAATCTATCTGCTCTCCTTAGGGCAAAGTCACCCAATATTCCCGGCCTTTGCTTCATTATCGTCTTCCTCGGTAAACCCTAGTCTCGCAGGGAGAAAAGGAAATCCTGTGCGAATCAGACCTCAACGTCTTTATAGATAAACCCTTGTCTCGGAGAAAGCAAAAACAGGAGCCTCTCTGCGAATCAGACGTCAACAATGGCGACTTCATACGACTACGAAGATGGCAGCTACTCGACCAAACAGCAGCACTCGGACTCTTCACTCGAGTCGTATGACCCGAACTACGTCCCAGACCCGGTGAAGTCGTTCGTCGGCCATCTTTACAGGCACATTAGGGAGAAGAATGTGTACGAGATCCACCAGATGTACGAGACTTCGTTCCAGAGCCTCAGCGAGCGCATGTTCAAGGACACTCCCTGGCCTTCTGTTGACGCAGTCGCACCTTACGTCGACAACGACCATGTCTTCTGCTTGCTTTACCGGGAGATGTGGTTTCGCCACCTCTATGCTCGCCTCTCCCCGACTCTCAAGCAGCGTATTGATTCGTGGGACAATTACTGCAACTTATTCCAGGTTTAGCTCTTTTTGGATAGCTAATATTCTTCTATTTACCTCCTTTTTCCTCTAAAAGTCTGTGTTTTTTTATTTTGTTATTTCAATATCTGTTTATTTATTTATTTTTTGCTGGTTTCTTGACCGGATTATTTATACAGTATGCGTTTTACAAATTTCACAGTATTAGCTGTCAGAACAATAATGACGTCTCACCATTTGATCTCCCTCTTATCGAGTGTTTTCTTTAGTATAATTTTGGCTTGTACATGAAGAATTGCACGGAGTTGCTTATTAGCTTATATTTGTGCTTGTGTTTTTAAAAAGGTTGAGTTTTGAGGGGGAGAATATATCAAGCTTGTGGGTACAGTAGTCAGGTTGAATTGGATGTTTTCAAACCTATTACTGTATTGCATAATCTGGCTATTTGTATGTAGCTCAGTGCTGGAGTAAAAGTGAGCAGTATATTTGTTTATATGAGTGCATTAAGCTTATGATTTTGGTTCTCAAAGGCATTCTATAACCTTCTTGGAGAATTTGTGAATTTTGCTGTAGTTTTACAGTTAGCTCACACATAAATTATATTTGTTTCCTTTCAGTGGTGACTTTTAATTTCTCCATGGATTGAACCCATTAAAATGCTGTTCTTTTATAAATTGCCTATAGTAGGAAAAGGCCACGATCTAACACATGTAGGCTTCTAAAAAAACATCGTTTTGCTGGTAAAGCAATGAAGTAATTGTTGGTGTATTGCTCTCCTCTTTGCCGAGGTGCTGAAATGTACTAAACCAGACTGAAGCGATTGCTTTGGTCTGAAGAGAGCAATGTGTAAAGCACAACCCTTAGCATACCTTAAATAAGGTCAACACAGTCAACACTCAAAACACCTCATTTCAGCTGCAACAGCACAATCAAACTTGAGAATTGCCTTCAATCATACTCCAATGCCTCCAATTAAACATTTTGGTGACCAATAGTTTCACAGTTTGGCTGAATTGCCTCACATCCTTCGCTGATCTCTTAAGTCTACAAATTGCAATTATGCTTTTCTTATTCTTTTGCCAAATCACTTATTACTACTACCTCTTTTTTGGGGTGGGTGGGGAAGAAGAAGCCAACTGCAATAAGGGACGAAGATGATGACAACAATATTGTTTGAACTCTTCATCTTTAAGCATATTGCATACCCTCTCACATGCTCTCTTCTCTTTGTTAGCTAAGCAAGATCCTTTTTTTTTTTTCCTCTAAAAGTCTAATAGTTAATAATATTCCATATATTTGATTTGTTTTTAATTAATTTATTTGGGTAGTGGGCATTGGGAAGTGGGGCTCTCCAAACTCCATTTTAAAAATAAATTTAACCTTAATTAATTGCAATGTTGTAAAAATTTCTAGGTGCCCATTGAGTGTTTGATTGGCGCCTAGTGCCTAGGTGCACAACTAAACAAAACTGGTTTTTTTTTTTGGGTTGCATATGGAGTCTTGGATTTTTAGACTTCTAGCAAGTATTCCTTTGATACAATATAAATGTTCAATAGAACATAATACATTAATACTCTAACCATAACATATACAAACGAAAAAACAAAATTTACAAAAAAAGGGCTGCCTTGTTGGCTGACCTTGTAGAAGATCAATTTTGGCATTCTTCCATTTGGCCTACGGGCCAATTTTCACCACACTGATTAATTGATGTACTCAATTGTTTCATATTTTAATGTAATCCTTAATTTATGCATTCAATTTGTTGTTTTTAGAAAATATGGATTACGCATTGTGCTTCGTTGATATATAGTATTTAATATGATGCTTCTGTTTAGATAAAAATTAATGATTGATGAATAATGAAATATTAAGATAATATGATTATATATATATATATATATATATATATATATATATATTATGTTAATGGTAGAATTTTGTTCACTTTTCAAAAGTAGCCATTTTGACATGTAATGAAAATATACATCAATGATTAAGGTCTTAAGGATACAATATGCTTGTATTGTTATATCATGATGCCAATTATAAATTTATAATATTTGTGTTAAAAGTTGCATTATAAATCATTTATATATGATTCTAGATTGTGAAATTTAATTTTGCCACTTTGCATTGCTATATTATATGCAAAACAAAAGCAACAGTTTGCTTTGTGCTTTAAAAAACTTTGTAGTGCTCTGTCATGCTGTTGCACTGTTTGCATTAAAAAACTCTGCATGTATATAATCTGTGTCTATGGTGCATGTTAATCAGCTCATTAACATGTGACTGATGGTGTGAACTTCTTTTACATCAAGAAATTTGTGTTTTGACAAGAATGTCCTCTCATGTAGTAGTGGGTAGACACTAAGAACAGCCACATTGCATGAATGCAGAGTTTTAGTTATATCTACCAATCTACCATTTTTACTTTGCATATATTTTATTTTATTACACTAAATTGTTTATGGGTTTCAATTGTTCTGTTGAGACAAAATGATACTTAGCTATTGTGATTTGCTGCAGGTGGTTCTACATGGGGTGGTAAACATGCAATTGCCAAACCAGTGGTTGTGGGATATGATTGACGAATTTGTTTACCAATTTCAGTCATTCTGCCAATACCGTGCCAAGATGAAGAACAAGACTGAACAGGAGATTACATTGCTGAAGCAGTTTAATCAGGTATTGTTGTTTACAAATAATGTATTGTCTTGGACTGAGATTTTACTCTTATATTTCTTGAAGAGTACATTTAATTGTAAAATGTCTTCATTTTCATTTGTGTTCAACTTTTTTTGCTTTGTGATGAGTAGAGGATATGAAGGTTCCTTTAATATTTTTTGGATGATTAACCAGCTGTTCATAGTTGCAAAACCCAGTATCTTTGTGTTATTTTTGTGCCAAAGAAATTTAGGACAATTAGTTGGGGATTTGATGTGTAAGTCTAATTTTCCTCGACCGTGGTGGGATTTTTACCTTTAGTTTCTAGCGAGGGAGTGGTGAAGAAGTTAAACATTTCTTTAATTCATATATCTTTGTTATGCTGACATCTAGCTTATAATTTCAAATTTTTATTCTAGCTGTAGAGTAATGTGTTGCTGACTTGTTGGTTTTCTCCCCCTACAATTTTGTAAGGCATGGAATGTGTATGGTGTTCTCAACTATTTGCAAGCACTTGTTGAGAAATCTCAGATTATCCAAATCTTGGGAGAAGGAGAAAGAGGGCCTTGAGGAATTCACTTCTACTGATGGATATGATTACAGTGGTGGAAGTAACGTCTTGAAAGTTTTGGGCTATTTCAGTATGATTGGCTTGCTTAGGGTTCATTGTTTGTTGGGTGATTATCATACTGGCCTCAAGTGCTCCACGGCTGTCAAACATGAGATCCAGATCTGGCCTGATAGCCACAGCTGTCAAACATGAGGTCCAGATCTGGCCGAATAGCCACGCTGTCAGACATGAGCAGATCTGGCCGGATAGCCACGGCTGTCAAACATGAGGTCCAGATCTGGACCTCACCCCCGGCCTGGAACGAGGGCTATCCGGTAGCCACGGCTGTCAGACATGAGGTCCAGATCTGGCGGATAGCCACGACTGTCAAACATGAGGTCCAAATCTGGACCTCACCCCGGCCTGGAACGAGGGCTGTCCAGCGAGGACAACCGGACAGCCACGGCTGTCAAACATGAGGTCCAAATCTGGACCTCACCTCAAACGGCCTTGGAACGAGGGCTGTCCGGCGCAGACAACGATGGCTGAAATTCCTTTTATTTATTTATTTATTTTATATTTTTAATAATTGAATAGGCAACTTGTAAAAAAGTCAATCGAACAAATTTTGCTGGTAGATGGGCCTATTTGACACTTAATTTAGTTCGTGGTGAGAATTGAGCACTTCGCAGTAGTAGATGTGCTTATTTGACATTTCTGCCTAAATAATATTATATGAGAATTGACATGTATATATTTTCTTTTTGATCATACATGTAGGAATTTTTAGTAAAAAGATAGTGTTACCTATAATATTTTTATAGCGCATTGTAACAGAGTCAGTAATACTAAAAAACTCAGTTATAAACTCTAAAATCCAAACCAACGAAAGATTTAGCGACGCTATAAAAAACGTTGTGACAGTACTAGAATTCAACCTTAATACCTTAAAGTCTTACTCTTAAAGGCACTAACCTAGGTTCAAACCTATACTCTGATACCAACTGTAACACCCCGATTTTTACACAACAACTAAGCAATTAAAGGCTTAAAGATGAAGATAAAACTAACATTAAGATATAAAGAGTGCGGAAGCTAAACTTGTCAATCAGAAGATGTCACGTCACATCTAACTACAAGGCTAGATGCACAGGCTAAAAGTCAAAACTTAGACATCCAAAACCATAACATCGAATTCACAAGTTCAATTCTACAGGCACACATGCCTCAACAATTAGCTAAGGAACCAAAAGGGAGATACGTTAAACTAATCCGTCTTCTATCACGCTCGAAGAAACTACTCAGCACCTGTAAAACATAAGGGGTAGCACCCGTTAGCGAATAATGCTAAGTAACCAACACTACGCGTAGAGTACTTATAATATACATATAGGAAAATCACTTTTGAGACTTGGAATACATAGTATATAATCTTTTAAAACGAGGAGTAGGAACAACATAAGACTCATCAGAATCACTCTTAATCAAATGACCAACATCATACGGTTACTCAAGGTATCAACAAGAACGACAAGAACAAACGAGTAATCCACATGATATGATAAGCAATATCAATTAAGAGATAACATCAAACATACTCATAAGCAATAGAAAGTCAAAGATCGCAAGCAATGACTAGTTCTAACCTTATGCCTGGTTCCAACCTTATGTCACCATGCCCGACCTTATTTCAGTTCCAACCTGTACCTCCGAGTGCCACCCTGTACACCAAGTCCAACCTTTTCCCTCCTGGAGCCATTGCTCCCCGCCAAATCAATTATCACCGATCTCATAGACATACACAATGTCATTAATAATATAATAATACTTATCACCGTGATAGTATCCGCCAATCAAGTGAGCAAAGCTCATTACCACCAATCTCATAACAATCACATAGTCATTGACATAGAAGATTGAGGCTCATCAATAGCCCAATCAAGGATCAACAATAGAGTACAACATATGTACAAGGTTACAACAAGAGATTCAGTAGAAAGACTTCAAGGAGAGACATGAAAGGAACATTCAAAACAATAGCACAATAGTAATAGGCTTCAATCCAAAGATTACCTTGATTGGTGAACCACAAGTTACCAATCTTCATAGAGAACGAATGAACAAGCACATACTAGTACCAACAACATCGTAACTAGCATGCAAATCAATAGAATAATCATAACGGTTCAAACGAACATCAATAACTTCACATTAATCAACCAAATCACAAAGTTAGACCTTTAAGCATGATTCAAGACTCATAAACCGATCAAGGTTACTTAGGACACCATTCTAGACGTACGAAACATCAAAAGGAGACACACCAGTTGCACAAGAATTCAACAAAGCGGAGGCCAAAACACAACGTACCAGTGGGCGAAATACGGTCGGTTGGACAACCCCCGCCACTCCCCCTACACATGTACCAGCGAGTGGAACCATGGGTGGGCAACCACCCGCGGCTCCTCCCGCCACCATCCGCCTACGTTTCCCACGAGTGGAACCGGCGGTAGGCTGCCTGCTCGCCATTCTGCCGCGGGTACCCCTGAACCAAAAATAAATTCCCTTTCGGGGAAAAACACCAACAACGCCAAGTTCAAGTCCAAAACACCCAAAACCTCACATTCAACAATAAAGGAACTTGAACAAATGAAAAGCTCAAAGAATAGCATTTATGAACCCTAGATACAAGCTCTAAACATGCATAAACACAAGGTTATGCATCATTTCACTCATGAACATCAAGAATAGCAAGAAATTCATATTATCAAGCATAAAATAGATTTTGTAGCACATGGTTACCTCTTGTAGCCTAAGAACACCTTTTTCAACCTCTACTCATCCTCTTTGGAACTCTTCTTCCACAAGGTCTTCCCAACACAAACCAAAAACCACACAACTATCCAAAACTTAGATAAAGTCAAGGAGAAACTAGATAAAAACACTACCCAAGACTAGGCATTACATTTCCTAAGGTCTTGGTGGAAGAAAGTTGGAATCTTGGGGAGTTCTTGGCAAGATTGAGAAAGGGTTTTGGTTGGCTTGGGGAAGAAGCTAGGATTTTAGAGAGAAGGTGGTGAGAAAGGTAGATAGAGATGGAAAGTTGGAATGATTGGAGATTCTCTTGGTTGGGGTAGGATCTTTAGGCTAAAATCTGAAAAGTTGCAAGGTCCCCTTTGAATCAATTTAAGGCTAGGAAGGAATTAAAAACTAGGTACAAGGCATAAGGCACCGTGTACAACTTATTGGCTAATGATTTAAGTCAATTTTAGGTCCTCCGACTATTTTAATAAGGAATTAAGGAGAGTTTTACAAGGAAAGCTTAGAATTAATTAAATAATTAATTCCGTTTAAGGGATAGATTTTCGGGGTGTCACAATAAACACATCAATAAGCTTTGAGAAGGCACACACCAAAACCACTCGATTACATCTTCATCATCTCGTGGTCCTTCTATGTCCTTTTTATCATAAGCTCCGTCTAAGCACTGAGTCAGGTTCACCTACGCTATAGCTGGTGCGAACTTAGTGTAGTTAGTCCTGTGTAGCCTGTCGAAAGCGTGTCAGGGTTCTGACTGCACCGTTATCGGGCAAATAACGCTTTTAAGGTAATGTTATTATAACACGGCACACACTTCCTTTCAGTCATACACTCGTAGTGTCCGTGTTTCTTAAAAGGTTTCCAGCCCGTGCGTTGACGTTGCGAATATTTTTCAACAATTAAAAGCGTTATTTTAGCAACAGTCAACTACTCAAATCGTGGAGCAAATTATATAAATTTTTTTGGTGACATGATGGTGTAGCAACAACAGAGATTAACAGTGGAAGGCAGGAGTTTGATACAGAATAGTACTGGTGAAGCACACTGCTTCGACTTATGTGTAACCTTTAAGCAAGGGAGTACAACATAAATAATTATTGGGTTCATATCGGAGCTTTAACCATACTCTGATGAGGTTTGTCTCCTCATATTTTAATATGACACATGCATATTTATATGATAATAGACTATCATATGCAAATGATTATTTTGAGCACAAGTAGTCATATATTATTGTGCATTGACCATATTCCCTTAAAACTATCATAATGGCATAATTTAGAAGATGGTTTGCCTATACCTTTGCATCCATTTGATTATTATGTTTTGAGAGCATTTGAAACGTGAAATATATACTGTGACAAGTATTTTAGAAATCACCATTTCATATTTTATATGGTGAGTGCTTTGAATATTATAGAGAATATTAACAGTGGTGCACACAAGGATAGGTGAATTGTTATTATTCAATTCACATGGATGACCTTTATGATTTTGTTGTGTTAGAAGCAAGGTTGCAAAAACGTTAGGCGCCGTTTTATTATTATTATTTTTATTTTTTAAAAAAAATTAAAAATTAAAAATTATAAAATTCACTCATAAAACATAAGGTTCCTCTAGATTTTTCTTACAAATTATTTACGTAAGTGGTTGTAAAATCGTTTTGAATATTATTGAGACCATCTAAATACATAAAAATTTAAAATTAAGAGCAAAAGAAGCATTTTTTGAAGAATTAGAGGGCCAAACTGCCTTTGGTTATTTGTGGTGTACAGATCTCAAAAAAATACGCGATTTGAAAAAAAAAATTGTTCAAAACGGACAACCGAGTCAAAAGTTATGTCTTCCCGAACTTTTAACACTTTACAACGCAAAAAAAAAAAAAAAAGTTATGCCTTCCCGAACCGGCCGACCATGGAGGAGGCCGGAATCGCGGCAGCAGGCGGCCGCCTAGTGCCTAGCGCCTAGGCGCTATTAAATCATCAATATGATATAAAGCTTATAAATTGTGTACTTATGCACATATCGAATTTATAACATTATGTGTTATATTGTGGATATGTTACAAATATTGCACTATTTGATGAGATACATATATGCTTTACAATCACTTAATCTTAAATGTCTGAATTGTGTACCGAGACTAAATTCCAAGGCTTTACTTACATTGTGGTGGTAGCATGAAAAAGTCATCATTCTTGAATACTCTGTCTAGGAAGATGGTTTTTAAGTAAACTTCGGTTTCACCACTCGACCTGGGAGTTTTTAAGAAGTAGGGTGTTGATCATGCAGGTTAGTTAGAGCGCTACTTCATCTACCATATCAGAAACTGCA